TAGTCAGGGACTAAAAAACATGACAAATGGCAATTCTTAACAGCTCACAATAACATTTGGGGAAAAAGTTTATCCAAAAATGTTTCAAATGACAAAATATGAACTGTATGAATCAGATGACAGAACATATTATTTATTTTGTGTGATCAACATGACTACTTCAGCATCCAAGTTCCTAGGTTCAGAATCCCTCTGTCAGAGAAATCTGATACATCACATACTGAATTAGCTTTCATATAGGAATTTCATCTATACATACAGGAGAAATCACCAAGCATAAACCACCATTAGCCTGAATAACTGCAAAACTCCCAACTCAGTATATCTGGTTGCCCTTTTCAGTATTTTAATTCCCAAACTTTCCCACAAGTAGGATTTAAGATCTTGTTCAATAATAAGGAAGCCTAGCTTGCCACAGAATTCATTACACACCTAAGAAAGCTAATTTCTCCATCTTCATCTTCTTCCACCCCTGCAAACCAGTCTTTTATCAGCTTAGTTATAATGAGTTTTTCTACCTCTTCTGTAGTCACATCTTCTATGGGAAGGATTAGAACAAAACTGAATTCATCTTTTGTATAGCAGCTGCAAAACTTGGTACCTTACATTACAGATAGAAAAATGACTTAAACCAAAAGAAAGAAAGATGGCCCAAACCAAAAGACAAGAAGGCAAATATTTCAGTTGGTGAACTATAATGGAGAGAAATGTCTCTGGAAAATGAGCCAGGCTCTGTACAGTTCAGAACCACCAGGCTACTAAGAGTCAGCTTTCTCCAAATTCCATGAATATATGTTCTGAATAATGTATGTGTGTGCATATGCATATCTGGTTAATGTACCATGGAATTGTGGTTGCAGTCTGGACAAAAAGCACTGAGGTAAGGGAGACTCTCAATGCTGGGTTTTATGCCATCCCTTCAAGTTTATCTGTTTAGCCAACTTTTTTTTTACAACTTTTTTTTTATTTTTACAACTTTTAACACTACTAGTTATTTCTGGGTTTTAAGGAGTTTTACTGTTTTATCATTTTAGCTATTGGTTCTGAGTTTTTTAAACATGCAAATTTAGTATAAAATGCTATTAAAAATAAATAGTAAGATAATAAATTAAGAGTGTTGAAAATAATTCAGATTATTTATTCAACCAAAAGGGCATCATTTTACATGAAGGTAACTCTGGGCCTCAGCAGACGGAGGCCCCGGAGCCGCCGCCGAACGGAGCGCCGCGGGGCTGCAGCCTCCGCATCCAGGCGCACTGCCGGCGACTCTAAAAGGAGCACCAAATTGGCGCTCCTTTTAGATGTCAGAGAAAGTGCGCCGCAAAAGCGGCGGGCGCACTTTCTCTGACTCAAACGGCGCAGCGCATGTGGGCGCTGCGCCGTGAGGTCATCCCCAATGCGCCGGTCGTGTGGGCGGCCGGCGCATCTGGGGGCAACCTCGGAGAGAGGAAGGGGCGCCGTTCGTGCGGCTGCCCCTCCTCTTCTCTGCCCAGAAGACGACTTTATTAGTCGTCTGCTTAGGGCCTATGTCTGTCTGTGTTTCCATCTTTCCCTGCCTTTTCCCAAAAACCGGCTTAAGGCAGATTGAACCAAGAGATAAATGTTGGTAACTCATGGTTGCAACCCAATACAGGCTGAGTCTTCCTTATCTGGATTTCTGAAATTCAAAATATTCCCCAAACTAAAACTTTTTTCATGAGTGGCTGAGATAGTGACACCTTTGCTTTCTGATGGTCCAATGTACATAAACTTAGGGCCCTTACAGACTGCCAAAAATAATGCAATTTCCATGACTCCCTAGCACTGAGCCAGAGCAATTAAAGTGGTCTCAAGCTGGATTATTTCTGGCAGTCTGTAAAGGCCCTTTGTTTCATCCCTTTAATAAGCTGCCATATGGGCCTTCCCTCATGACCACATAAAGGATGTTTCACTATCATACTTGTTCTTTGAATAGTGCTACTACAATGTGTGAAATGAATGTGAAACCACACTTGTATATGATGAACAGAGGTAAGGGACAGCCTTCCTGCTGTTTGTTGTATCTAGTAACCTGGAGACCAGATTGTAGTGGAGGCTAGGAGGAAGAATCACCACACCATGCTGAACACCCAGAAAAAGGGACCAAACAAGTTAGCAACTCTGGAGAACCAGAATCACATTGATTTCTTGTACCACCTGACTCCTACTGAATATGAGGGTAATAACACCCTTTCAATATCTGCAGTGGAAGCAGTGGGACAAAATAAGAGCATCAGCAGCTTTGACCAGCTGCATAGTAATGGACAGGTATAAGACATGGTCTCCTGGGTCCTACTTTTGGCAGTGGTCTTGGCTCAACATTCTGAATGTATTTTGAGCTAGAAGCAGGGCTTGGAAAGTGACTTTTGGGATTATAAATGCAAGTGGCCATCCTGGGTGGAGATTCTGGGAGTTAAACAGTTAGACCTCCATATCCACAGGGAACCCCCATCTCCCAATGGACACCAAAATCCACACATGCTTGTTCCATAAAAATTAATGGTGGCTCAGCACATGCACCACCATTAAGCAAAAGAGGGACTTGCCATCCACAAATGCTTAAATCCATGGATGGCAAGCCCACCGATAAGGAAGACAGACTGTAATCTAGAGATTAACTTTTCCAAACTAGTGAGTATCAAGCTGGCTGTTAAACTTAATTGCTGCATGAAACCTTCATGGGTGATGAAATAATTTGATATGCTTTCAATACATGATTAATTTTATACAGCAGGTTAGATTCAAAGAAGGAAACAAGAGATTGAGAGAGAGAGAGAACACAAATAAGAAACTGCAATCCTGATACTTTGAAACTATTTGTCATGTACTAGAACAGATTATTTAATTGGAATGTCAATGTTGCAGCTTCACTGTTTTGATAAAAGCATAATAGATGTGTTTTGCCATTTCTCTTTAAAGCCATCTGCATTTTATTGATAATCAGTTTTGCAGCAGAGAGGGATAAAAAATCAAATATATTTAAAATGATGCTGTCGTGTCTGTGCTTTAGAGCTGGGATTCACAGCTGAAAGTGCATGGCCAAAGTGGATCAAATGAAATTGGATTTGAAAGGAAAAGTACAGTATAAAGGTAAATTTAGAATGGTTTGGTGAGATACATGACATTTGTCAAGGAATATTTTATAAATGATGATGACAACACTGTCTGTGGACAATAAAGAAATAAATTCATTAGAAAGAACTTCTGACAATAAGAAGCATTTAACAATGGAATAGGCTTCCTTGGAGAGTGCTG